GATATAAAGGTCCATGCATGTGACCAAATAGGCTCATTCTATTGGCCTAATAACTCATTAATAATTTATGTATGAGTTTTTGAACAAAGGATATCTAACAACCACTCAGCATTTTTAGTTTTACTATGTTTAAAACTTAAGTTGACCCAAGAGCCAGGCAAGTGTTTTCACTGCAAAGCTTTGAACTTTTTAAGAAATGTGATTACAAGAGGACATACATGATTGTGAAATTTGTTTTTCTAACCACATTTTTAGTCTAAAAAAACTGCAAAAATCATCATTTTCTTTTAACTGAGCCTACGATAGAGATGTGATGAAGTCAGCACTCAGTGCGTGCATGTCCTCTTATTGACACACTCTCATCAGCCAATCAGCAGGTGAGAATTTACACAATTGTGAAACATTTTGATTGGATCAGCTTTAATAGTGCTACAATGTACATTTAGGTTTGTAATCATCATAATATCATACCTGGAGATGTCTGCTGTTGTTGTTCCCTGGTCTCATCTCTTGATCCTATCATCTTGGCAGCGGCCTCAACATGTATATCAACTTCTTTTTTCCATCTTTCAACTTCACCWGTCAAATGCCTCACTTGTCCTTCAAGATCTTGGATTTTATTCCGRGCCATTTCTCCAAGTCTGTCTCTCTCGTCTTGTTCATGAGTCAGTAACTCTCTGAGATTTCCCAATTCTTCTTCTTTGGAGGCTGTTTCTTGTTCTTGTGTYCTGAGTTGTCCCTGAAGATTTACAATCTCCTCAATGAGGTTAAGCTTTTCTTTCTTTTCATTRTTAAACAAATCTTCCATCTCTGCCAGTCTGTTTTGTCTGTCTGATATATCAGCTTCTAGTTGCTGAGTGTAGCCAGCCATTTGTGTTGTTTCTTCCTCAACTCTTTTGATGGTTAACGATTCCATGTCTTGAGTCAATTGCCTAATTTCATGTTTTAGCTAAGAAWATAAAACAATAATTAATTAGCATTTTAAGAGGATTTCAATGTTTCTTTTTGTCTAAAAAATGCATTATTATCCAGCTTCTAAGGATCTATCTTTGTATAATCATGGTTCATGGTTTGAGGGTCTCACAACATGGCTTAATGTGACATGTTCAATAATATAATATTCCAACATACTCACAAATTTAGGAGATGAGCACACCATAAAGATATGTGACAGGTAATGAAGAAATGATTTTGCAATGTAATGTAAAAAAGTGCTTTGTCATCATATTTTGTGGCATTCTTCTAAGAACTACAGCATCATCAAAATAAATCACTTAAGAACAAATATAATCATACAAACTGATACTGAAAACTYTTCAAATATTGTACAGATCATACAAATATGAAACAAACAATGAAAAATTTCACAGTATTTCAACTTCATGACATATGCCTACCTCCTCAATCTCCAGATTTTTTTGCCTTGAGGCTTCTTTTTCTGCATCCAAAGCTACTTTTGCTRCCAATCCAATAGATTTTTGTTCTTCTAGTTCCTGTTTAAGTTTTCCAGTGTTCTCTCCATCTACACTTGGCTGGCCTTTCTGAAGTTTTTTGAGCTGTGATTCCAAGCGGCGACACTCGATAAACTTAACCTTGTAGGCTTCAGCTCCCATATTCAAACGTACTCTCAGATCTTCATTTTTGGCACGAAACTCTTCAATTTCATGACGCATGTCAGTTGAAGACAAATTTCCTTGGACAACAGCAAGGGTTCGTTTAAGCTCRTTTTTGTCYTTCCATAATTCTTCCACTTTTTTCTTGGTTTCAACATATTTTTTCTCAAGATGTGCATGAGCTGTTTGGAGAGCATACATTGATGCTGCTGAATTCTTGGATGACTTTTCATTCTTTCCTTTAGTATCACTTAAAGATGTTTGTAGCATTTCCTTCTCTGTTTTTAGAGCATTCACTTCAGAATCTGTGGCTGAAAGTTGTGCATTTACAAGTTTTAACTTTTCATGCAGGGATTTCTGGTGTTTCTTGTGTTCCTCGTATTCCTCTGTGATATTTTTCAACTCTGCCATCTTAGTCTCCAGGAGCTTTGCTTGTTCGGCATTAACCTGCAGTTGATGTTCCAGTTGATTTTGAAGATCAGTTACAGTGTTGTCTGTCTGGACACACAATGACTTGTTCAAAGCTTTTTCACCTTCCAGTTGATTTTCTAGTCCTCTTAATGCAGACTCATAATCTTCCTCCAATGCAGCATTTCTTCCTCTTTCAAATTCACACTTTACTTTTGCATCTTCAAGTTCAAATTCGAGTCTTTGGATGGCGTCGTCTTTAATAAGACCTTCCTCTGTGATGATTTGAAGTCTGGTTTCAAATTGGCTGGCTTCATTTAAGTTTGCTTCCATCAAAACATCTTTTTCTTTCTCGAGTGATTTCATTTTAGACTTAAGTGATTCCACAATATCATTGGCATTATTGAGCTCACTTTGCTGACTTTCAATTTTGCTGTAAAGTGATTGCCATTCTGCCTTCATTTTTGCAGCCTCTTCTCCAGCTTGGAGTCTTTCTTTGGCCAAAGTCTGCTCATGCGCAACCAGTTCTTCTTGGAGCTTAGCACAAGCTTTTTCCTTTTGCAGCACATCTTCACGTAGCTTTGCAAGAGTAGCTGATAATTTATCTTTTTCTTCTTTGAGAGCAGAGAGGTCTTCTTTCTTTAGGAGTAATTCTGCTTGTAAGTTATCAGTAAGCTCACGATTCTCTGCGATTTTTTGCAAGTACTGCAACTTTTCACTGACCAACTTTTCTTTCGATTTCTTGGCCTCAGAATACTGCATTTGCTCTTTTTCAACAATTTCTGCAAACTCTTCGCATTTCTTATTTGCATGCTCAACAATCACCACCATTTCTTTCTTGTCTGTTTCGAGTTTTTCTACCTCAGCTTCCAGTTCCTCCCTCCGGAGTCTTTCCGCTCCAAGTTCCTCCACTTTCACTTTCAAGTTGTTGTTGACCAATTCTAGTTCCTTCGACAAGGAAGAGTTTTGTTTTCTTTCGTGGTTAACTTGAGCTGCTAGTTCAGACTTTCGCTTCTCTAGTCCAACAACCATATCATTCAGCTTTTCTATATCACTCATCTTCTTTTCGTTAGATACCTTAAGGGAAGMATTTTCTTCTAACGCTCTTGAAAGAGATTCTTCGAGAATTGCCGTCCGATTTTTAACCATCAACATACTCTCGTCATCTTCGACTTCGCAGAACTCATACTCGGAAACGTCAGTTTTTTCTTTTATTTGAAAAGGTACACTGGCGCCACGAACTTCTCCCGAATTTGTAACGTAGCAAAACTGGAAAAATTCTTCATCAGACTTTGGTAGATATCTTGACCGAAATACGACCCTATTCGCAGTGGGCCTTCTCTCTTCGCCAGGTTCGCTTTGCTCGATGAACGGCGACCACTCGTATGTGCAATGTTCGCCAGAGTTTTGCCATCCCACTTTGAACAAACCAACCCAGTCTCTTTTAGAAAGTTTGACTGAAGATTTTATGGTGTACTTACATTCAATATCTAGTTCGGGAGGATAAATATCGGAGATGTCATGGAAAACAACGGCTGTGAAGTCTGCTTCGTCTGCTTTGACGTCGCTGTTTGGAGCTGGAGAATCTAAGGTTACCTTTTCTGCCATATCGTCGACTGAAAACAAAAGTTTGCAGTTTCCTCAAAAGGAACCTTGATTCATTTCTTTTTGAGACGGTATTAAACAGCTTTTTTTCAAGAAATTYCAAAAGTGAAAATAAAAACGCACTCGAAAAAAATGCGATCCAAAGTTTATATAATATGGCGCGGTCATCCGAGCTTACAATATGTCTATTTATAGAAAATAACGTATTCGGTTTGACCGATCGTTGTCGGAGATTCTCGAACATCACCCGATGCATGCTCCGATAATTTTTGTCGGAAGGAAATTAGAGGAAATGAACGCTCTGTTGAAATACCATGAGGCATGCTTGTAATTTTTTTCTGAATTTTATCAAAAGTAAATGTTCTTTTGAAATCAACAACATGTAACTTTTAAGGCTTTATCACTGACTTTGCAAATTTTTCCATAGTGAGGTGACGTCATAAACGAGCAACCCGACCTTATACCTCGTGGGGGCCGGGATCCCACGCGTCTTGCCCTTATTCAGATGATGATCAAATGATCTCTGAATGTGATGAGAACCATGTAAAGGAAGCATTGCCCAAAAACGATCTGACTTTTTCCCTGGATTCATAGTATTTCTTCCTGTTGCAGAGAATGATCTGTATTACAGACTTACAGGGGTTTTATTAGGGACAGGGGGAGGTCCATCTTTTTGACTTTGATTGGAGGTGAAAAGAGATGATCAATGATTTTTATGATAGTAATATTAATAATGTGTTACGTTATCTCGTATAGTGAGGAAGGAGGGTTCCTCCAAATGCGCGCGCTCCTGGCCAGACATTGCAAACTATGCGGTTTGTTCGCTTTACACGGTAAGGTTGAGGTTGCCCGATCAGAAAGAATTTCCAAGGAGTTCCAAAACTAATGTGCCATGAAGTGAGCCCGCTTTTCAAAGCCAAGTACTCTAAAAACTTTCTAAAATAGAAATCATTAAGTGTRCCAAAGATAATGGACACGCCTCTGGTTAGCGTCGAGTGCTATGCCAGTCAGTCCATGATGCGTGAACGTAGACCTAAATTAGCAATAACAGTCATCTTTCCATTAACTTCCTAGTATCTAGTCAAAACTAATTAATGTTGGTCTAACTATTCGTGTAGCCACGTGTTTACCGCAACAAAATTTAAAATTTGTATTAAAAACATTTCCTCATAATTACTAGAAGTTACTCAAGTCGACCACACTTTTTCGTTRTTTTCGTTAGTGCCTTTCCTTTTTCTTTTCTTTTATTTTTAGGAGAGACTGTTGTGACTGTGAGTAATGTCTAATGTCATGGTCTMTCATGCTAGAATCTTTTAGGATATCTTTAACGCGCTTATACAAAATATGACGTMAGCAATCACGTCCAGTCATAAAGGCTATAAAGCTCTATAACACATAAAATCATTGATTTAGGGGTGAAAATATGTTTTCCTGCTTTTAGTAGAGATCCTTCGGAATATATGAGGCTTCACCCCGAGTTTAGTCATTTATTTTTGACTTGTTCGGGAAATAATGACAACAAATTCACATGATGCCTTGTTTCCTTTTAAGTCTCTCTTACTACAAATTTACGAGTTGGGTTCCCTGTGTTTAACACTGTAAATCAACCCTCGAACTTCCGCTTTGACTGGATGATTGATCCGGGGACTCAAATGAAAAGGTGTTCCAAAAAAATGGTGTTTAAATCAGCTTAAATCAAGGTAAACTTGCTAGATAAACGTATAGTATTTGCAAACTTACAAAAACATTCCGTTATGTGCTACTGTCATTTGAAAAAGGAGTAAAACGACGAAGCATTCATAAGTACTTTAGCTTTATATATGGTTAAGTAAGCTTCAAAGTTTGGAGCTGAAGTCTACGAAAATATTAAGCTCAGCATTGTTTACACCCAAAGAATTGGTCAAGAAATATAAAATACTGTCTTAAGTATATATCTTAAMAGAAATATAACCGTTTAAAGATCATCATTTCATTGCTGGAGTTAAGAAAACTTGAAATCGAGAAATAGTCTGCCACTTCTGTGCCGAGCACTTTGTAGTCAATAGCGTCGAACAATTCATGAAAAGCGAAAGGAGTTGGAGACGTTGACATAGAAAGTATTCACCATTGGTTTTAAAATTGCATTGTTTTTGATGCGAATCTTGAACTTTGTTGTCAACATCTTAATTTATGCATGTTGAAGTAAACAAGATAAGGGTGGATCAAGGGAGCAAAGAAGGGCAAAGGAAAATGAAGTAGGGCGAGTCCCGGCTACAGACTTAAATTGAGGGGGAGTGTTCCCTTGGAAAATTTGAAAGGGTGCTGAAAAGATGGTTTTTAAAATGACCCAGAAAGGTTTGCAAAAATTATTTGAGATCCAGATTTCAGACTACTGATATACCAATATTTGTTATAGTTAATAAAATGATGTTTTAATTCTTTTATTGTTACTTTTCTGTATTTTAAAACCCACAGATCTGACTTTAAAAGGTGTGCGCACTATCAGTTGGAGACTTTGAAAGGTATGCAATGCAATGGTT